TCCCTCTCTGGGGCTGAGAATGTCCATCTCTAAGATGAGGGCCTGGCCTCTGTTTCCCGCGCAGGGTGACAGTACCGCCCCTGCCCCAGCTGTCTGCATTTTCACAAGAGACTCCAGGCACATGTGGCTGTTGAGGCCCCGAAACGTGGCTAGTTCTGAACTGAAAGGTGTAAGATACACCTCAATGCAAAATACTGAATATGGAAGACTTAGTGCAAAAGTCTATATGTAACAATCTCATTAGTAACTTCATATTGATTACATTTGAAATGATATTTTGGATATGTTAGGCTAAATAAAATATTAACATTCATTTCACTTGTTTCTTTTTACCCTGTGATTTGGCTACTAGAAAATTTTAAATTATGTATTTGGCTGGCATTCTATTTCTTTTGCAGAGTGCCGCTCTGGTAGGTAAAAAGCCTTCGAAACCCAATTAAATTAATTCATAGTTAAAATTCGAACTTCCCACCCCTGGGATCCCTCCTGCTCCCCATGGAGCTCTTATGGTACTTTATCAGGTTCTCAAATATCACAGATATCTTTGCATATCTTACTGGCTTGGTCTCCTGCTAGAACACAAACTTCAGTGCGGCAGAGCTTTGTCTATTTTCCTCAGTCACATAGTGCCCAAGTGCTGAGAACAGGGCCAGGCACAGGACACATGCAGTTTCCACAGTGGCCAAGCCTTCTGTTTTTCTAGAGAAGCTCCAAAGACACATTTTCACGTGTAATCTCCAGTTTTTTCAATGTTGTCTCTAATTCCAATGACTTTAAACCATTATACGGGCCCAAAGAAACACTTCCGCAGGAGCTTTGGTTACCTGTCTGCACCGAGTGGATCAGAAGATTTTGGAGGCTGATACAGCAGGCCAGGTGGGGAGGGACCTGATGGCGGAGGGCTGAGCAGGGCCTCTCAGATCTGCCTGTCCCAGAAAACTTGCCAACTTGCCAATGTGTATCCAAGTAGGTGGCAGCTCCTCATTTCCTGTCTGCAACTAAAAAGAAAGCAAACTCCTTTCCTTATACTCACACAATACTTCTGACTCCAAATTGTGGGTTTCCCAAGCTCTAGCAATTCTCCAGTTCTCTAGACGTCAACTGGGTGGACTCCTGCTGTGAACTAAAATAACATTTTAAGGCTCACCCCCAACTGGCTGACTGAATGGACCCCCTAGTGGCCAAAGGAATATCCTAAATTGCCTGCCAGGAGGAGGGAGGTCAGACATTCCTCGTCATGCCCCCCTCCCTTCCCCGGGACATCCTTTGTAACCCATTAACAGGCTTAAGGCTTTGCAAGACAAACCTGCAGATCCTCAATTTACACAACAAATCTATGTCTGGTGACTTATCTCTGATAAACAGCTCCTTTTATGTTAAAACATTCCAAACCTTTAGACAAAGCTTCATGTCTTTAACCAATTACAAGCCAAAGATTCTTTAAACCCACCTATAACCTGTAAGCCCCTCCTCGAGATAGCCCACCTTTTGGGGCCAAACCAATGTATGCCTCCCACGTATTGATTTATTTATAACTTCACCTGTAATCCCTGTCTCCCCAAAATGTGTAAAACCAAACTGTAACTCAGCCACATTGAGTCTACTTGCTCTAGGCTTCTTTATTTTTTTTTTTTGAGACAGAGTCTTGCTTTGTTGCCCAGGCTAGAGTGAATGCAATGGAGTCAGCCTAGCTCACAGCAACCTCAAACTCCTGGGTTCAAGCAATCCTACTGCCTCAGCCTCCAGAGTAGCTGGGACTACAGGCATGCACCACCATGCCCGGCTAATTTTTTCTCTATATATTAGTTGGCCAATGAATTTCTTTCTATTTATAGTAGAGACGGGGGTCTCGCTCTTGCTCAGGCTGGTTTTGAACTCCTGACCTCGAGCAATCTGCCCGCCTCAGCCTCCCAGAGTGCTAGGATTACAGGCGTGAGCCACCGCGCCCGGCTCTGGGCTTCTTGAGTATGGCTCCTGGTCATGATCCTCACATTTGGCTCAGAGTAAATCTTTTTAAAATTATTTTACAGAGTTTGGCCTTTTTTTCCGTTAACACTACAATTCGATTCCATTCTGACGTGATCTACCTGGAATTAGTGGCAGATCCCACAAGGTAAGGCCCCAGCCCCACAAGACAGCCCTCACTCCACATGCCCATCACAAGTCCAGGCCACTCATACTTTTCACTGACCAGCTGCAAATCAGGGGGCTCCCACGACCTCTTTAGGGTTGATAATTTGCTATAGTGGCTCACAGAACTCAGAGAAACACTTTGTTTTTGTTTACTGGTTTATTATAAAGAATGCAACTAACGGAAGAGGTGCCTAGGCCAAGGTGTTGGGTGTGGGTGGGGCTCGGAGCTGCCATGTCCTCTCTGGGTGAGCCACCTTTCCAGCACCCATGGAGGCTTCCTGAACCTTTAGGGTTTTATGGAGGTTGTAGTATGTAGGCATGATTGATCGGTGATTGAACCAATCTCCAGCCCTCCCTGGAGGTCGGAGGATGTTGGGGGGCGGGCTGAGAGAGAGAGAGAGAGAGAGAGAGAGAGAGAGAGAGAGAGAGTTCCAAAGCTCTAATCACATGGTTGTTGCCTCTGGCAAACTGCCCCCATTCTGAAGCTATCCATGGGCTTTCAGCCACCAGTCCTGTCTCATGAACGCACAAAAAGACACTCTTATCACTCCAGAGATTGCAAGAATTTTAGAAACTCTTGTGTTGGAAACCTGGGGATGTGCATCACAGGGTGCAGAGTTTCAGTGAGACAGGAGGAATAAGCTATAGCGCTTGCTCTATTGCACGGAATGGTGACTATAATAAATAACAATGCATCTTGTATCTCAAAGTTGCTGAAAACATAGATGTTAAATATTTTCATCACAAAAAAATAAGTACTTGAGGTGATGGATTTGTTAATTAGCCTGATTTGATCATGACACATTGTAAACATGTATGGAAACATTGCATTGTACCCCTTAAATATCTACAATTATTATTTGGCAGTTAAAAACTTTTTTAAAAAAAGACTAAATATAACAAAAGATACAGCCTACAGCTTCCAGGGCTACGGCATGGGTGGAGACCAAGGTAGGAACTTCCCTAAGACCAAAACTCCTTCCTTCCCCTCAGCCAGCCTAGCATTTGGTTTCTTTGTCCCCTAAACTGTAAACAGGACCGGATTCCCCCACCACAGGTTTAACTTTTGTTGTAACAGTTGAAGCCACTGCTCAGGGCAGTGGCTAGAGCAGGAAGTTCTGACTCCGTTTTAGAGAGGGCTCCAGGCTTCCAGGCTTTCGCCAGAGTCCCGGATTGTCTCATGCACTTTTTGTGTGACTTTAAGTAAGTCCCTCCCTTTTGAGTGCTCAGGTTGTCCTTCTGAACAAAGAAGGCTTTGAGCTGGCTCTGCATTTCCAAACTCACTACCTTGGGGGGCTGGGTTCCCCCTGCAGACTCACTGAATCAGAACCCCTTGGGGCCAAGTCTTCTCATCGAGGCCTTTCCTGGCCTCCTATCTAAAATTATATATCCCTCCTCCCTATCTTACTTCTCCATAGTCACCACATGCTTTACTCTGTGTCTTACATTGATTTTGCATATTGTGCATCTCTCCTGCCCTGCTGGTATGTAAGCAATCATTTAGAAACAATGTAACTTATCAATTTTAACTGTGTTAGGGACCAAATTTGCAGGTGGCAGATACAGGCCAGGAGGGCGGTTCCTAGGGGCGGAGAAGGTGGGGGGAGACCAATCAGAGAAAGGGACTGCAGGAAACCGCAGAACACCTGACCATCAAGTATAGCAATCACGTGGTCCTTCCCCTCCCCCCCCCCCAGACCAGGCCAATAAAAGGAAACCAACCACCTGGGCGACCTTAACATCTTTCTCCACTTGTGGAGACTGACCGTAAGGTACTCTCCCTTTGTATGGCTCCCTTTTTTTCTGCGATAAAAGCTGTTTGTATGTCACTCTGTCACTGGCCCTGCTTGTGAATTTTCCAAGCAAGGAGCCAAAGAACCAGGACAACAGTCCGCCAAGAGAACGGACCTGACACTTGGTGTCGAAACCCAGGAATCTCTCTTCTTCAAAGGTAAGGTGCTGGAGTGTGTGTGTGTATGTGTGTGTGTTTACTGGTGGTGGCTTGTCACATGTTCTTCAGGTCTCCTTGCTTTCCAGAGTCTGCTGAGATGTGGTGAGTAGTGCAAATATGGTGCAAACCCTGGAACTCCTGTCCTTTTTGTTAAGATCCTAGGACTCAGGAGATGGCATTGTGGCAATCCTATCCTGCTACATGCCAGTCCTGATCTTGTGGGACTCCCCTCACCCCAGTCAAAAGGGGGCGAGAGTGAAGTCATGGTGTGGGGAAAGAACAAGAAGCCTTTCAAGACTTAAAACAAGCCTTAACCCATGTGCTGGCCTTAGGAATACAGAACTTAGACAAACCCTTTGTATTATATGTTGATAAGGAAAAGAAAGAGGCTATGGGAGTTTTGGTACAAGAGTTTGGAGGGGAATTGCAACTGGTAGGATATTTTCTAAAAATTTAGACCCTGTAGCCAGAGGCTGGCCCCATCGTTCGAGAGTACTGGCTGCTTCGGCTCTCCTGGTAGAGGAAGCTCAAGAGTTGGTCCATTCCAGGGCTCTCAAGGTTCGGGCACTACATGATCTGGCTCCTCTTTTTTTTTTTTTTTTTTTGAGACAGAGTCTCACTTTTGTTGCCCAGGCTAGAGTGAGTGCCATGGTGTCAGCCTAGCTCACAGCAACCTCAAACTCCTGGGCTCAAGCGATCCTCCTGCCTCAGCCTCCCAAGTAGCTGGGACTACAGGCATGCGCCACCATGCCCGGCTAATTTTTTGTATATATACTTTTAGTTGGTCAATTAATTTCTTTCTATTTTTAGTAGAGACGGGGGTCTCGCTCAGGCTGGTTTCGAACTCCCGACCTCGAGCAATCCGCCCGCCTCGGCCTCCCAGAGTGCTAGGATTACAGGCGTGAGCCACCGCGCCCAGCCGATCTGGCTCCTCTTTTAACCAAACATGGACTGAGTTGGCTGTCCGACAGCCTGGTGTCACGATATCAGCTCCTCTTGATAGAATACCCAGACGTTACCCTGGAAACCTGTGCAGCCTTAAATCCGGCCACGCTCATTCCGGCAGCCCCAGGAGAACATGGAATTGTGCTGTGTCCCGAGAGTAAGCCAGATTGGGTCCAACATCTTCCTGTTGCTTTGATGCGGATCCGTGTCTCTCCCAGAGGGACACTAAGACTCCGTCCTCTTGAAATCTTCTCTGGCCGACCATTCCAGGTACAAGTTCTCAGGGAATGAGTGGAGGCTGGTTATCTGCTAGAACACCTCACAGATCTGGGGAAAGTACAACGGGCATTGTTGGACTACGGGCAACACGTCTTGCCTGGTCCACAGGAAGGGAAAAATCACTTCCCCCATATAACCAGGGGCTGGGCCCTTCTTAAAGATTGGAAAGAAAGGGGACCTGCCAATCAGAGCCCATGTGGAAGGATTTTTTACCCCCACAGGAGTCAAACTGAAGGGAATGAGAGCTGTGTACACATCTCAAGAGCTAAACCGGGACGTGCCCAGAGTCCAACACCGGCAAGGATGCTGAGACGACAGACACCTGCAAGTGCAAACCAACTGGAGCATTAAAGATTCTCTTCAAAAAGGTGAAATCATTAAGCCTCATGGGTTATGCCACCACAGATAGTAAAAATCCCTACATATATTTCCTGGTCTTATGATAGCCTTTGCTAGAATCCTCTGCATATTAGATATATCTGTTGTGCCGCATGGGTGTACTACTGCATTTTCCTATTTTCCAGCACCCATTATTTTCATATTTTCATTACGATTTCATTTTTCTTCATCTTACTGCAACTTTTTTTCACTATTACCAAGTATGACCTGGTTGTTACCATTTCTGGGACCTTTAGTGGCCATTGTCCTTCTATTAATATTTGGCCCATGCATTTTAACCTTCTCATTAAGTTTGTGTGTTTTCAAGGCTTCAACAGTTCCACGTGAAGCTTATGCGAGCTTGGGGATTACACTCCAGACCTGAACAAGATAATACCGCTAGCCGTGGAGCCTCTGTGTAAGGCCACAAGTGACTTCCACCTGCATGTCGCTTGTAAAATAGGTCATCGAGCCTGGGGAAACGTCATCCCTGTTCAGCTGGAAGTAGCTACAGAGGACGTGGACCTTCAGCCCTGTCAGGTGTGACCTCTTGGCAGACTGTTGTTCTGGTTCTTTGGCTCCTTGCTTGGAAAATTCACAAGTGGGGCTGATGTAATGTAGTGACCACGGACAGGAAGCAATTTCACACAAATGGCTTTTACTGCAGAAAAGAAGGGAGCTATACAAAGCGAGGGTATGTCCCAGACGAGTCAGTCTCCACGAGTGAAGAAAGATGTTAAAGTCTCCCAGGTGGTTCCCTTTTATTGGCCTGGTCCAGGGTGGCCTTAGGGGGGCTGGGGCAGGGAGGGGATGTGACCAGGTGATTGATATACATGATGGTCAGGTGTTCTATATTTTCTTGCAGTCCCTTCCCCTGATTGGTCTCCCAGAGTCTCCACCCCTAGGAACTACGCTCCTGGCCTGTATTTGCAACCTGAAGATTTGATCCCTGCCTAACAAGTATATAGTTCAATGACTTTTGACAACTGTATACAGCTTTGTGACCATGACAACCATCAAGATAAAGAACAGTTACATCACTCCAAAATTTCCCTCCTGCCCCTTCCTAGTCAATGCCCTGTGTACACCCTTGTCCCTTGGCAACCTCTGACCTGCTTTCTGCCTTTGTAGTTTTTTCTTTTCTGAAATTTCATAGAAATAGAATCATTACAGCATGTGGTCTTGTGGTCTGGTTTATTTTCACATAGCTAATACTTTTGAAGTTCCTCCCAGATAATGCCTGTATCAGTAGCTTGTTCCTTTTTATTGGTGAGTAGTGTTCCACTGTGTGTGCATCTACTGCAGTTTGTGTATCCACTCATTTTGAATATTTTGGACATTCGATTATTTTGGACATTTTGATTATTTTCTTTTTTTGGGCTGTGATGAATAAAGCTGCCACAGGGCATTCTTGTGTAAATCATGGTGTGGGCATATGTTTTAATTTCTCTTGGGTGATACTTAGGAGTGGGATTGCTGGATGGTAAATGGATGTTTACATTTATAGGAAACGGAGGTAACAATGGTTGAATAAATGGTGCCCTGGCATCTGCACTATTAATGACGTCACCAGGTACAGCCAGGTGTCTGTGCTGCATGATTTTGACTTTGAGATCATTTTGCTCCAAAGCGCCGGCTGCCTTATGCCTTCTATCTGTGGAGTTTGGGGTTTTAGTTTCAAACTTCAGCCCCGGAGGAGACCCAGCATGGAGATTCTGAGGGGTTGATCCCACCTACCAGGAACCCAGGCCTTGGTTAGGAGTGAGTCAGCTCACAGTCACCCTCATTAGCTCAGCATTATGAGGGTTGATAATTATTATGATAAATATGCTCTTGCAACCTTGCCATCCTGCTTCCTGCATCTACTGACTATATATGAGCCTGAGGTGTTCCTCTTGCCCTACTTGTGATAATACAAGAATGAGGAGTCCGTTTGTTCATTTATAACACACTTATTGAGTCTTTTTTTCCCTAGGCAATGTCTAGTTGTTGAAACATTTGTGAAAAAAATAAAATCTCTGCTTTCATGGCACTTTCAGAGAGGGAAAGATGGCAACATATGTATAAACAAAGATAATCTAGGTTCTATGAAAAAAATACAACTAAGTAATGGATAATGGAGCTTTAGATAGGGAAAAGTCCAGTCTAAGGTGGAACATTGGAAGCAAGGAATCAGCTATATGAATAGCCAGAGCTATTCTGTAGCCATTGGCCACATGAGACTATTGGGGACTCAGAATGTGGCTAGTTCCCATTGAGATGTGCTGTAAGTGTGAAACATACCCGAATTCCAAGAAGTTACTGTAAAAAAAAAAAACCCTAATGTATCTCAATAATTTTTTCTGTTGCCTACATGTTGAGATGATACTATTTTGGACATACTGGATTAAAAAAAAATTAAAGTGAAGTTCATTTCTTTTTTTTTTTTTTTGAGACAGGGTCTCCCTTTGTCCCTGGGCTAGAGAGCCGTGGGGTGATCATAGCTCACTGCAGCCTCCAACTCCTGGGCTCCAGCGATCCCCTTGCCTCGCTAGGGAAAGGCATGGTCTACTGATTGATGCGGCTGCTAAGGGGAGAGTGGACTGTGGGGGGACCAGATGGAAGATCAGTTGCACCTTCCCGTGGATGGAAGGCGGGACGTTCTAGGAAGAAGAATCCTAGGTTCCCATACTCTCTGAGCCAGGGTCATATGTGGCCCTGCCTCCCGTGGGACTCAGTTTTCCCGCCTGCAAAATAGGCCACAGCATCCGCCAACTCTGGAGAAGCCCGCAGCCCTGCAGGAGCGGCCGTCGGCGCCAGGGGGCGCCTCCTCGATGACTCGGCGCTCGGCTGGCCAGGCGCTGGCGCGCCGCCCGCTCGATTGGTCGGGTCCGGGCGGGCCTGAGCGCCGCTTGTCTGCGCCATTGAGGAGCGGCGGGGAGGAAGCGCCGCGCAGTGCCGGGCGAAGGCGGGCGGCCCGGGGCACCGACAGGTAGGGGCCGAGCGGGGCCGCGCCGGGCGGCGGGCAGCACCGGGGACCACAGGGCTGGCGCGGACCCGCGGTCGGCCGCTCGGGCTCCGCCTCAGACTTGGGGTCCGGGGCCCACCCTCGGGGAGCGCGGCGCTGGAAGCCCGGGGACCCCAGCGTCCGGCCCACCACCTGAGCCCCTCCGGGGAGCCCTGGGGGCGTCCGCGCCCCCGAGGACTCCGAGCCTGTCCCCCTCACGGGGCCTCTCTGCGTCTGAGCCCCCGCGGGCTCCCCGGGAACAGGGTCGGGGCTGGCTGAGCCACGGGGACCCTGGCGTCCATGTCCTGGGGAGTCTGAGACCCCGCCACTCTTTCCAGGGTCCCAGCAGCCTGGCGCCCTGGGATTGAGGGGTGTCAGTCTGCGTCTGTCCACCTGAGTCTCGGTCTCTGCGCGGGACCCCCACGTTACACCCAGGAATGGGGCGCCAGTCAGTTCTCCAGGGTGTCTTAAGTACTCCCTTTAGCCAGCTACCCGAGGTCACGCTTTGGGGTGGAGACGTCAGGCCTAAAACCTGTATTTATCTCTTGGATCCCAGGGTGCCGAGACCTTCCTCCCAGGTGTGGGACCGTCGGGGCATTCCCCCCGGGAATTGAGCTAAGGGGTGGTGGGTCTCCGTTCCTTGGAGGTGGGGTTAGGGTTCTGAGAGCTGAGGGAGTGGCAGGAGGGCTGTGGGAGCCTCGCCTTCTGGGCTCTCTCTCCCGTGGAGCCGCCGGCCTGACTCCCGCCCCCGGCCCCCTGTCTCAGAGCTCCCTGACGGCGGGGTGCATTCGGGGTGCCCGACCGCCCTGAGGAGCTACGCCCGGGTACAGCGGCCGGTCCTTCCTATTCCCAGGTCTGGCCGCTCCTCGTGGGAGGGGCCTGGCTCAAGGTCATACCCGGCTGTCTGCCCGCTGGTGGGCTGAGCAGGATCCCCACTGTCTCTTGCCCCACCGGGTAGGGGAGGCCAGGTGGGGGTTAGTGCCAGGCAGCTGTCTAGAAGCCCCGATAGACCAGAGTGTAAACACTTTGGGATTCTGGCCAGTCTGGCGGCCCTTCCTGACACCGGATTCCTTAAGGGAATCCTTGAAGTGGCTTCAAGCCCGGTTCCAGTGCTTAGCAGAGCTAATGGATGCTTTCTGGTTTGGGTTAATTTACTGACCAGGGCGTTTTACAGTGCTAATCACTCATGTTTTTTTTTTAAATCTGTGTTTCGCCTTCTTTTACCTTCAGGGAAATTAGGGTAGAGCCTGAACTTGTTTACAAACTGACTGGTTGTTTCTCTTTATTTGGAGAACGTTTGTAGTTGGCACTTCAGAGAGAGTTGGCATTTAGGGCCAAAATTAGTGGCAATAACTCCAAAAATAATGAGTACTCTGACTTTGGCACCTTGCCTGAGTGTGTTTGGAGTTCACATAGTGAGACTAGACTAGTGAATTTCACATTTTATTTTCACAGATTTACTTGTTTAAAGTTACAGTAGAGAAATGTATCTTTTATTTAGACTGTTAAGCATTTTTTATTTTTAAAAATTTGTTCTTGTAACCTCTTCTTTAAACAAATGTACCCAATAATCCCTAGCAGATTCCTAGTTTTACATAACTGTAAACTTATCTTTGGGCCTTAAAACATATCTTTGGGCCAGGCGCAGTGGCTCACGCCTGTAATCCTAGCACTCTCGGAGGCTTATGTGGCAGGATCGCTTGAGTTCCGGAGTTTGAGACCAGCCTGAGCAAAAGGAAGACCCCTGTCTCTATACAAAATAAAAAAACTAGCCTAGCACTGTAGCATGCACCTGTAGTCCCAGCTACTCAGGAGGCTGAAGAGGATCGCTTGAGCCCAGGAGTTTGAGGTTGTTGTGAGCTATGATGATGCCACTGCACTCTATAGGGCAACACAATGAGACTCTGTCTCAACAAAACAAAACATAACAAAACATATCTTTGGAAAGAAATTAGGCAGTTAGGCAAGTATTTTACTGAATGCCATTTTTTTTTTCTTTCTACTGTCTCTGTTGACAAATAAAAATAAATCTTGTCTGAAAGTGCAAGATAGTGTTGACAAAAGCCAGTCTTTCTGGGAGATGGAATTAACTCTTAAAGGGACTTTGTGCTTTGGGTTGTGATTCAGTAGCAGCAGCCTTTCAGTTGGAATAAGTGTATCTTCTGGCACTAAGATGAAGCAGTAGAGGTGGGGCAAAGTATTTGGAAAGGATCCTGAAAGTAGGTTGGTTCCCAGTGGGATGCATGCCATAGCAAATCCGTTGTGCCCAGCACGTTGGCTGATGACCAGTGTGGGTGAATCAGAGCAAGATTTGGGCTCTACTAGCTGAGCAATCTGAGAACCCATTTAAACTTTTGTCTCAATTTCCCTCTTAACTTTTTGTAATATTAAAATTAATTTTTTTGTAATATGAACATAAGTTATTATGATAACTTATGATAACAATATAAACATCAGTTATTAGAACGGGCAGTAGTAGGTACTGAATCTAAATACTGTAGCTGGCACCAGAGGATTTCTAGAGTTTGTAATTATTGACTAAGGTTGTTCATTGTATTAGCATCATGTGGTGCCCAGGTACCAGAAATGAAGTTCCAAGACTTACAAGAGTAGTGATAAAATGCTGCCTTCTCCTTCCATTTATGTTATTTTATGAATGATCCTCATGAATAAATTTGCAAAATTTAATTAGGGCAGCCTTAATTAGGACCATTGGAGACTGTGAATTTCATTCATACACTCTCTTAGGGCATTTTGGCCTTAATCTAGGGTAGGATTTCTTAACATTTGCCCTGTTTACATGTGGATTGGCTGATCTTTGCTGTGGGGGCTGTCTTGTGTATTGTAGGTAGTAGTTTCCATGGTCTCTACTCACAGATGCCAGTAGCAGCCCCTAAGTCTTGATAATCAAAGATATCTCTAGACATTGTCAAATCATGCCCATATGAGAACCTCTGATCAGGGCAAACTAATCCCAAGGTAAATCACTATAAGCAAGCAGTTTAATGTGCAGTTAAATAAAAAAGATACACAACTTTGAATTGTAGGTAATTTTTGGTAAATTTATGAGTGACTATTCCTTGCAGCTGCATCAAAATGTAGAGGTATTGGTTTGGCCCTTCAATTACTGATGGGGACAATTTATAGAGATTCTTACCGTCTTTTAAATTTTTTTTTTTTCTATTTGTCTACCTTCAGGCAGGCAGAGTAGGAAATCAGCTTGGAAAATCATCCAGTTTTTCTGTTGATTTCCATTTTTTTCTTTCATAGATTCTTCTGTGACCATGAGAGAGAGAAAAATGATCCATGATTTTTAAAACCTTTTCCTGAGGATATAGTCATGTTGGAAGGTCTGGTAGCCTGGGTTCTCAATACCTATCTGGGGA